TATTCTGTCTACCTTTTCCCCCTCTCTCCTCCCACACTGATAACCCTCCATGTGATCTCCATTTCTGTGGTTCTGTTCCTGTTCTAGTTGTTTGCTTAGTTTCTTTTGGTTTTTGTTTTTCAGGTGGGGTTGTTAATAACTCTGAGTTTTCTGTCTTTTTACTGTTCATATTTTTATCTTCTTTTTCTTAGATAAATCCCTTTAACATTTCATATAATAATAAGAGCTTGGTGATGATGAACTCCTTTAACTTGACCTTATCTGGGAAGCACTTTATCTGCCCTTCCATTCTAAATGATAGCTGTGCTGGATAGAGCAATCTTGAATGGAGGTCCTTGCCTTTCATGACTTGGAATACTTCTTTCCAGCCCCTTCTTGCCTGTAAGGTCTCTTTTGAGAAATTAGCTGACAGTATTATGGGAACTCCTTTGTAGGTGACTCCTTATCTCCTCATCTCTTGCTGCTTCTAGGATTCTCTCCTTCATTTTAATCTTGGGCAATGTAACATGATGTGCCTTGGTGTGATCCACCTTGGGTCCAACTTCTTTGGGACTCTCTGAGCTTCCTGGACTTCCTGGAAGTCTATTTCCTTTGCCAGATTGGGGAAGTTCTCCTTCATTGTTTGTTCAAGTAAGTTTTCCACTTGTTGCTCTTTCTCTTCCCCTTCTGGCATCCCTATGATTCAGATGTTGGAACATTTAAAGATGTCCTGGAGGTTCCTAAGCCTCTCCTCACTTTTTTTGAATTCTTATTTCTCCCTTCTTTTCTGTTTGGTTGTTTCTTTCTTCCTTCTGGTCCACTCCATTGATTTGAGTCCCAGTTTTCTTCCCATCACTATTGGTTCCCTGTGCATTTTCTTTCATTTCACTTAGTGTAGCCTTCATTTTTTCATCTAATTTGCAACCAAAATCAACCAATTCTGTGAGCATCCTGATTACCAGTGCTTTGAACTGTGCATCTGATAGGCTGGCTATGTCTTGGTTGCTTAAATGTATTGGCTCTGAAGCTTTGATCTGTTCTTCTGTTTGAGCCATTTTTTGCGGGGCGGGGAGGGCATCTGGTGGCACCTGTTACATGGTGAGGGGCGGAGCCTTTGGTGCTCACCAGGGCGGGGCAACCCAGTCGCTGGGTTGTGACGCTGTATGTGGGGGCGGGGTCCAAGAGGGAACAATGGTGCCTGCTCTGCTCTCTGTCGGATTTCAGTCCCCTCTGCCACTTCCCACAAGCAAATTGGGCCTTCCTGGTGCTGGTTCCCGGGTGGGTGGGCTTGTGCATGTTCCAGGACCCCGTGGGGCTCTCCAAAGCACTCACCTGTGAGGCTGGGAGTCTCTCTCCGGGCCTCAGCCCCCCACAGGTGTTTTCAATCAGCACTTTTAGGTTTTATTTCCCCGCTGGGGCCCTGGGTAGCGCGGTCTGTCTCGCTGCCCGATTTTGCCTCCTTTGTCTGCTCGAGAATGTGTGACTGCGGACAGCCCGTGGCCGTGTGCGCCTCGCTGGCTCTGCCTGTTGTCACCCTGCGCGCCCAGGTCTGCCAGCCACCACTCTTCCCACCGCGACCCCCCTCCTCCAGCCACTGGTTCTGCCCTCCCCTTACTGGTCTGGATGAATGGTTGTCAGACTTCCATACAGGTCAGTTTTCTGTCAGATAATGGGTTTTGTTGTTGTTGTTTCTAAATTGTTGTCCTTAATTTTGGTTGTGCGAGGAGACAGTGTATCTACCTATGCATCCATCTTGCCTGGAAGTCCTTACTGTTACTTTTTAAGAACATGAAGATTTGTCATTGTTTCATGGAGGCGTATATTCTCATTTTCTAAGCTCGGTTTGTGGAATTTTCTGTAATAATGACGTGTCTGCCGAACCTCCTTCCCCTCTCACTCAGTCTGGTGTCCGCGGTGGTGGTGGTCCTCGGCCCTCTGTCAGTGTCCGAGGAGGGCCCACGCGGCTGCAGGTTCCGTGGGGGCCTCCGGGCGGCCGGCCTGCAGGCGGTTCCCCGGGAACCTCCGAGGTGCCCCCGTGGGGCCGCAGTCTCTTGGTCTCCACCCTCCGTCCCTCCCCCCTGGGGGTCCGTCCTCCTGCGTCTCTCCGGGACCCCGAGGCTCCTTCCGCAGTGCGAGTCGGGGCCTCCGGAGGGGACTGGGCAGGGAACTCCCCGTCCGGGGACAGAATACCGCCCCTGCCTGGACAAGGGCGCTCCGGTCCCCTAAAGGGACAGCACCCCCGTCTCCTTGGAGCACAGTGGGGCTGCGGGCCGGTGCGGCCTGGCCCTTGGGGTTGTGGCCCCGTTTCCAGATCAGACGGGAGGGCTCAGAGGGTGGGCCGGGGTGCTGGGAAGCAGCGCTGCGTGAGGACAGCGGTCGCCCTGCTGTGGGAGCGGCTCCCACCACCGGGGGGCTCCCTGGGGCTGGGGCAGCAGGCAGCCCCCGGACCCTGCGTGAGCTGGTGCTTGGAAGCAGAACCCGGCGTGGGAGTTAAAAGCACGTTCCTTCACTCGACCGGCTCCTGGAAGAGCAACGTGAGTGCGTCTGAGCACGGCACCCGGCGAGGGGGGCAGCCCTCGCCCTCCTGCCCCTCCCCTCCCCGCCCTGCTTCCCTGCCCTCCCTTCCTCTGCAGTCACCAGCCGGGTTTTCCCGCCAGCCAGCCACCGCCATGCCTCCGAGTGGCTTTTCAGTGTCAGGCCTATCAGGAAATTAACTCATCACGCAGTGACAGCTGCTAATTTTTCCCCTTGCCTGTCAGATGGATCGCCTGCTGAAGCTGAGAATGAATCACCAATCCCTGATTAGAAGGTGCTTCCGAAACCTGTAACTGCCATCCGAGCTAACTTTTCCCTTCATGTAAGACGGTGTCACCCCGGAGGAGAGCGAGCGAGCGGTACTCTTCGACGCGGCGGAACGGGAGGCGGCTGCTTCCGCGAGCTGCACACTCTCTGAAGTGATGGGCTGGTACCACACGGTGAGACAAGTGGAAGCTCACAGCTCCTTTCAGTTTGCTACGTAAATGGCCTTCCTTGTTCCTTAATTCTCTATTCCTAGAGCCAGCTCTGCGTTAGAGCTCTAAGCTGGTCCCCCATATTTTTTCCTCCTTACGCCATTACTTCACCTTCATACCCAGGAGCGCAGGGCTCGCCGGACCCGAGGACCCTGGCGCTGCGCGGGGGTCAGGGATTCCAGGGTGTCATGTCCCGGGCAGAGGGGCCGGTCTGCAGGGGGCGCTGGGGGAGCTGTGCGGCCTGGTCTGACCACGGCCCGGCCGGGCCCTGCTGGGTGGGCCCGTGGGTGAGGGTGGCCAGGCCTGGCCTCAAGGGGTCAGCCGTGACTTCTGTCCGGGGGTCTCCACATTCCTGGTGGGGCTGACGGGTGGCAGTGGGCTTTTTGGTGCTGCTGACCCCACCTGAGCACTCTCACTTGGTTTTTGGCGCAACCCCAGTAGCTTCAAGGATGTTCACTGCATCCCTTGGTGACGTGGGCCGGCCTGCCTGCGTGTTTCTCTCGTGCGGGCGGGGGTGGGGGGGTTGTGGCATCTCTGTCCTCTGCTCCAGCCCGCTCAGCGAGGCCTGCAGCCGCCTGGAAGGGCCGCCGAGTCCCCACACCTCATCAAAGTGACCCGTGTGGCCACACTCCCTCCTCCTAGTGAAAACCGCTGTCCCTGCTACTGGCCACCACAGGCGGGCACACGGGCCTCCGTCTGCTGTGGAGGGTGAGTGCCAGCCCGTGTCTCCGGGGTGACCTGGGCAGGGTGGCCGGCCTTCCCCGCCCACGCACGCCCCTGGGGTGCCATCACTGAGTCGGGTGGAGCTGGGCACCCCGGGGGGCCTGTCTGGGCTGCAGCCTCCAGGCCCACAGCCCTTCGCTTTGTTTTTTACGGAAAAGGCTCTCTCGCATGACACCCCAGCATAAACTCCGTGGGCTGGCACGTCATGGGCAAGCCTGCGCTGGGGCCCATGGGTGCCCTTTGGTCCTGACAGCTGTGCAGCGGGAGAGGAGGGAGGGGACTGCCAGCCCCACTCAGCGGCCGTCACAGGCCGGAAGAGCCCGTGGACGCCTTCGTGGTCCCGGGGGCCCGATACAGCCCTGCACGGTGTCTTCCTGCGAGGGCCTGCCCTTCCCACATGCGTGCGTCTGGTGGCCAGTTTGACACTGTGGCTGCACATGCCTGACGGGGCGTAAATGCCACCAGAGACACACTCGTCCTAAACACGTCAGCAGCGGTAAGCGGCAGCGTGTCGGCGCCAACAGCCTGGATGGGGCCGGAGGGTCAGCGGTGCAGCCTGGGCATGGCGGGGTGGGGGTGGGGGTGGGGATGGGGGAGTTAGCACCCAGCCGAGGGCAGGGTGCCGGTGTCGGGGGTGAGCGGGAAGAAATATTCCCACTGGAAAACACCGCCCCCCCTTTCGTCTTTCTCCAGTGCGTGTGGGAGGCCAGGAGGGGCTTCCCTTTGTAAAGGTCGCCTTCCTGAGGACAACGGTCGGCGCCGGCTGGGGGCAGCTCGAAGGACTGGGTGGCCCTGCCATGTTCACGGAACACGGGCCAGCCACACGCAGCTGACCAGGAACCCCGGGTCCAAACCTGACACCCCACCTTGTGGTTTTGGGGGGGCGCTGTGTGAAGGGAGGTGGCCCCGGGGGACGGGGCCCCAGGCCGTGGAGGCGAGGCCCCCTGCAGCTCGCCTCCACCCTGGCCGCTCGGACGGGGGTCCGAGAGCCACCTGTCCCCAGATGAGAATGGCGCCGACTTCCTCCCCACCCCTCCCCTCCCCAAGACTCCACTCTCCCGCCCCGCCCTACTAGCCGTGACCCAGTGCGTCACTGTCACCAGCTCCTGCCTGGGCCTCATGCCCGCCGTTCAGGACGCCGCACTGGGCACGCAGGTGTGCGTGCGGAGCCAGCACAGCTGCCCGCGGGCAGGCGGGAGAGAAACCGCGCCTCGGGCAGAGCGAGTTCTCGTGGGTGTCCTCGGCGGCCCCTTGGCCGACGGCCGGAAACACACCACCACCCTTCTCTTTGAATGCTGTAATTTTATTTCAAAGAAAAGAGAAACAGAACAGAACAACCTGTGCGGAGCGGGAGGGGATTACTTTACAGTTTCGGAAATGAAAGGAGAGCAATTGCATCAAGGAACAAACTGCTGGAACGTAAACTTGCGGTCCGCCGCGGCGGGGGACGCGCCCCTGCGTGCCTCGCCCACCACACACCACGCAGGCCCTGGGGCGGGGCTGCCTCCTGCGGCCCTGGTGCCCGGCAGCCACGCACCGACGTAAGTGACAAGCGGGTCCTGCGAGGTGACAGCGACACGAACAAACACGTCATAAAAGCAGAACATGGACATGAACAGTGTTTCCCAGACTGCACGCTCCCCACGTGGGCGTCACTGCAGGGAACGAGGTCGAAATTAGAAGCACTGGGCTGTCTTGACCAGGGTATGTTTTAATTAAAAATAAACTCCGAGGCCTTTCTGAGCCTCGGGACTCCTCGGCTTCTTCGTAGAGGGTGCAACCAGAGCTACCACCAATCCACCTGCCGCGGGGAGAGCGGAGGGCGCGCTCTGGCCCGGGTGCTCGCGGAGCTCCGGCTTGGATGCCGCGGACGGGGCCGGGGCAAAGCGCTTTGCGAGCTGAACCCGGACAGCGTCGGTGTGCGGCGGGCGGGGGCGCAGAGTAGGCGGCCAGGCCCTCCCGGCCCCGGGGACAAGGAACCAAAGACCCAGCACTGGGCGGAGCTGGTGCGCGGGCGGCCTCATCGGCCCGGCCGGGCCTGCAGGCTGCCTGCCGCTCTGAGCTGCCCCGCTGCCGTCCTCCGGGACCCCTGTGCCCAGCGCCCGGGGGCCTCCCAGGCCCGCCCCGGGCCTCAGGCTTCCTGGAGTTCGTGGCTGTCTCTTTGGCTCTGAAGGACAGCGGCCGCCGGGGCGCCCTCCTGGGTGTAAATGACCATGCTGGTCAGCGGCTCCGGCCCCCCAGCCTCAGTGCCGAGCGCGGCCCCGGCCTGCAGCAGCCCCTGCGCGCTGGCCGCAGCCTCGAGCACAGCGTGGGAGTACACGGCAGCCTCCTCTGGCGCGCCCGCGGGCAGCTCCGTCACGATGTAGTGGGTGGCGCCCTCGGGGAAGCTGCCCGCGGACTCGCGCACCATGGCCTGCACCAGCTCCTCCGTGACGATGATCTGCGAGACCTCGCCGTGCGGCCCAGCGGCCGCAGCCTCCTGCACGAGCAGCCGCGCCCCGTCCCGCGCCAGCATGTGCACGGCGCCCTCCTCGTTCACGACGACCTGCGTGACGCCGTCCTTCCCGAGCGGGCCGGCGGCGGCCGCGTCGCACACAGCGAACTGCAGGACGCCCTGCACCACCTTCTTGAAGGCCACCTGGGCCCGCTCCTGCGAGGCGCCGAGGGCCGAGGGCCGGACCACCTGGGTCAGCACCTCCAGGGGCTGCGCGGCCGGGCTGTCCGCCACGTCCTGGAACAGGTGGATCTCGGCGGCCTCGGGCTGGGCAGTGGGCGCCGCCTCCTGACCAGGCAGCTGGACCAGCACCTCTTTGTGGCTGGCTCTACCCGCGTCGCCAGACCCGGCCCTGCCCTCCGCCCCTCCCAGCTCAGAGACGGCGCACAGCAGGGCGTCCAAGGCAGAGGCGGCGTCGGGCTGGGCCCCGGCGGCCTCGCCGAGGTCCAGGAGCTCCTGCTTGCCCACCTGCTGCATCACGGCGCTGCCGGGGCTGAGGGGCGCGGCCACGGGGCCTTCCACCGAGCCCCCCACCACCACCACCTGCGTGGCTTCCTCCGCCACCTGCTCCGGCAGGACCGGCTCGGGGGTCCCGCCATCCACATGCGCCCCGCCGGGGCTCGTGGCAATGACCTGCCCGTCTTCGGTGATGTGCACCACGCGAGCCACCTGGCCGGCCAGTGCCAGCGTCTGCAGCGTGGCCGCGGCCGTCTCCTCCACGGAGGCGTCCAGGGCGAAGTCCCCGTCGTAGCCCTGGATGATGATGACCTGCTGGACCTGCTCGGGCGCCGCCGGCCGCCGGCCGCCCCGCAGGGGCCTGTCTGCCACGGGGACCTCCTCCGCCAGCGCGGCCGCGGTGAACGGGCTGTCGGTCTCCACGAACGTGGCCCCCTGGCCCTTCAGACGGCACTCGTAGGACTTGGACACGATGCCTGTGGGAGACAGGGGCCAGTTAGAGCCAGCAGGACGCGCCCAGGACGCACAGCAAGTGAGTGAGACCCTTCTTCCACGGGCACTGTCGGCCTGCACAGAGGGGGGACTGTGCGCCCCCACGCCACGCACTTGCCGGGGTGGCTGCCCGCAGGGACCCCAGCAGGCAGGGGCTCTGGGCCCAGAGCAACCGGGGCGGCGCCGGGCACTGGCTCCCTCCGCACTCCCGCTCTGACGCCCCAACACCAGGCCTGGGGCCCCGCCCTGGGAGGGAGTCTCACCCCCCCCGCCCCCGCACTCCCACCCCGGCCGTGGTCTCCCACAGACAGGCGCTGGCTGGGGAGAAGAAGTCCGGACGCGGCGTCGCCCGGCCAAAGGAAGACCTTTGGTCAACGCCCACCACTAGGTGGGGTGGCCGGGTGCTCCAGCCGCAGTGGGAGAGCCCCGCCGGTCCGCTGTTAGAAACGGGCCGTCCCTGAGCCCAGCGGCGGGGTGTCCATGTGCCGTGCAGCCCCCCGCCGGCCCGGCGTGCGCTCCCGGGCCCGGGACGAGGGCCGTCCTCTGGGTGGCGGGCAGGACGCTCCGGGAGCAGAGCCGGGTGAGAACCCGTGGCGCACGCACAGCGGAGCGCCGCTCGGCCCCGAAAACCACGCAGTCTCGTCATCCACAGACGCCGCGGGGGAGGGCCGGGAGCACGTCGTGCGGAGGGCAGTGAGCCGGTCAGACAGAGACACGCACCCCGTGACCTCACTCACGTGTGGGACCGAACGGACAAAAGAAATGAACCAGAAGCCGGCCCGGACAGCAGACGGGCGGTCGCCGGAGGGGAGCAGGTGAGGAGGAGCGGGACAGAGACCGGCAGGCGGGCCAGCGCCGGCGCGGCAAGGCTCGGGGGCAGAGCCCACAGCACCGGGACCGCCGTGCGCGGTGCCAGGTGGGTGCCGGGAGCACCGGGGATGCCACGCGGTGGGGACCTCGCGCTGGGCCGTGATGTCGACACCGACACAGGAGAACGCTGAGCGTCTGCAGCAGTTGGAGTAGGAAGGAAGGGCTCCCCTGACTGGTGACGGGCCCTGCCTCCGTGTCCTCTGTCCCTCTCCCAGCACAGTGGGGGGCAGCCGTTCGGGGCCCCGGCCCGGCCCCCAGCGAGCTCACGCCTACGACAGGACGCCCGGGGGCTCCGCCAGCTGCCCTGAGTCTCGGGGACAGGTGAACGACACGAGCACCCGTCAGAGCCCACCTGTGCGCGCCACTGTGGCCGCCTCCTCCCTGCCCCCGCCTGGCACGAACACACGACCTGTGGCTTCTGGGGGTTTCAAGGTCAGTGGGACCGTGAGGTGCGGCTAGAGCGCAGGGACCCCACAAAGCACGGGCTGGCTCCCGTGCGGGTGCTGGACCCTGACCTCATGTGGTCTTCTCGGCTCTGACCCTGCTCGGCCGGGTGTGGGGAGGCCGCTGCCGACCCCGTTGACCCAGCTGACCCGGTCAGTGTGCGCCCACGGGGCCTGGCCCTCCGGCCTGGCAGGCTGACCGTCCGCCCGCCCGGGTGAGCCTGCAGGTCCCCGTCACGTGGGGCAGGGCGCCTGTGCGCCCCACGGCACCGGGCTCCACCGCGCTGATGCGGCCACCTCTGTCCTCCGTAGCCCTGGACTTCGTTTAATCTCGAGGTCACTTCTGGTCTAACTTCGGGTGTGGAAAAAATGAGGGACACAGAGGAAAGGGAGGTGGCCCTCACGTCACCCCTCCCCAGTTAACTGAGGGCACACTCTGCCTTCCCATCAAGCACGGGAGGGACAGCTGCCGTGGGGGGGCACGCACGTCCCACTCTTGGGAGAGCCGGGAGAGGGGCGGCTCACTGAGTGACAGCCGTCCCCCGCCGTCCACACGGGACAGAGCGCCCCCTGCTGCCCAGGAGTGCCCCGCCCCTCCCGGCACTGGTGACGAGGCTGCTCCGCACTCTCTCCGCGTTTCTCGGAGCCCAGAGGTGGGCGGCACCGCTTCCAGACCGGCAGCGTGACCTGCGCAGGCGCACACAGCCGTCACCGCGGCGTGGCGGGGCATCACGGCGCAGCCACCTCCACCTCGCCGGCGCGGGCTCGCTGTCAGGCATGGCGCGCAAACAGGAGCACGCTCCGCCTTCTGAGTCGGCAGCCTAATAACTCCGCGGGCGCTGTCGGCACCGCTTTGAAAAACCGCACCTATAAAACGTGACGCCCGAGTCAGGCCGAAGGACCCTCCCACTGAGGCACTTCCCACTGTGACCGTGAGGAGTCCGTGTCATTGAGACTAGCGCGCGTCTCTGCCGAGACGTTCGGCTCCGGCAGGCGGTGCGCAGGAACCCACTGGGCACGCCGACCCCCACGTGCGAGCTCCTTCCGCACGTGCAGACCGGGAGGCCCACCGGCGCACGTGGCTCTGCCCCGGGCACCGCTGTGCACGTCCCGCAGAGCACGGGGGTCGCACCGCGGGGAGGCGGTGTCGGCTCGGGGCAGTGACAGCAGCTCCGGGCGGGCGGGCGTGGGGGAGGCGGCCCCTGGGGCCCGTTCCCGCAGGACAGGGAGCGGCTCTGAGCCGGAGGTGCGAGCGAATGTGGGTGAGGGGCCGCCGGCGCCTGCCCCCCCAATCCCCGCAATCCCAGCAGACAGTACGTGCGGCTGCGCCGCACTCCCTTCCGGGCGGAGAGCAGGGCGCCCTCGCAGCTCCGCGAGAGTGGGAGGGGTTCTGCGAGGGCTGAGAATGGGCTTTGGGGGGGAAGGGACTGCTGACGAGGCCCCTCCTCCCGAAGCTTGCTGGGGATCTCGGTTCCCCCTTCCGTGTCCCTCCCGAGGGGTCGCCTCCGGGGCCAGCAAGGTCGAAGGGCGCCGGGCCCCCGCACGCCGCCCGGCCGACAGCAGCTGCGCCCCTGGGAGGCTGCAGGCGGGGCTGGCACCTGCCTGCTCCCGGGCGGGGTGTGCCGTTCTCTCCTCCCGGTCGTCACTCCCCCACAGAATACACACCTTATGCCTTTGTTAAGCTTACATTTAATTAAAATGTACGGAATTTGTGCAGTAAATGCGAATGAAACAAATAAAACAAGGGCCCCCTCTCTTGAAGGCATACGTTGTGAATGAAATATGTCATTACGGACTAAAAAATTTTGCAGTAAACAGGGCCTACAGAGAGAAGTTCCCCTGTAATGACACCTATAAAATACACAAATGGCACTTTTAGTACCATCCTGAATATGGTGCTCTCTGTGCCGCACACACAATCTAAACGGTCTGATCATACAGCATAATACTCCGCTGGGCTTATAGAACAATCAATGTTCCATAAAATGATGTATTTATCCAATAGCGGGCTCCGCGGTCCCTGGCAGGTGACATTGCAGGACACGGGCCGGCCTCCGCGGCGACGCGCAGGCGGTGAAACTTACGCAACACCCACTCCAACAACTTCACCTCGTCTGCGCCAGGTAATTGGCTGCGGCCGCAGCTTGGCTTAAAAAAAAAAAAAAAAAACCTCGTAATAAAAATTCATAGAATTTTCAGGAGAACGCAAGCCGATGACAATAGAAAGGTCACATTGTGTCTCCACTAAAGGGGTCAAGGGTTGCTGGCAGCTCTAAAACGAGAGTAGATTTCATGCATCGCGTAGCAGGTAAAGACGGCGTTACCGAGACGAGCGTGGGCGGAAGGCTCGCGCTGGGGAGGCGGGGCTGTCACCCGCCGCTGCGGCGCCCCCGCTTCCCGTTCCTGAGCTGCTCGGGGGACGGCGCGCCGCGTCCGCAGAGGGCTCGGCCACGCCTCAGACACGCGTGCTTCAGACTGCGTGTTTCGGGAGGGCGCCAGGCTGGAGAATGCTGGCCTGGCCGCTGTCATGATTAAAGCGCCCCGAATGTGATGAGATTTAAAAAGTAATGCTCTTCATGTAGAAATTGGGGGCACGCATGCATTGTGAGTCTTAAGCCACATTTAATTTTTCTCAGCTTCCATTCTCAGATGTAATTTTAACAAGAATGCTAAGAAATCATACTTAATGTCTATTACAATGAAACAATATTAACAGATTATGTTAATAAATTAGAGCCATATTTTAATGTCACAAAAGCTTATAAGTTTCTCAAGTAAAGGCAGGAAAAATGACAAATTAAAATTCAATGAAATATAACCTTCTAGAAATTTCAAAGCAGGAAATAAATTATTCTTGCAGTAGCAGCCACCGATAGGTTAGCCAGTGAAATCAATAAGGAGAACTGCTCTGTAATGTACTCAGGTTTGGACAATAATGACTCCCTGGCACACGGCCCCCGGGAGGCTCCCAGAGACCCCGGGGTGCAGGGGGCAAGCCTCCCTCGCTCGCCCGGCACAGGGAGGGCGCACGCCCCACACGCACGCCCCGCACGCCCAGCCCCGGGGCACTCACACGCAGGCCTCCGTCTCTCAGAGGGGACAGGGTGCGGGGTGCCGAGTGCTGCAGCCCAGAGCAAACCGCACGTGGCTGGCCGCAACCAAGGGGCGCTCAGTGGGGGCACGACTTCGCACCCGCCGACAGCCCCCGGGGAGCGGAGAGAGCGGCTGGCACGGCGGGGCCTGGCACGCTGCACGTGCATCCTCCTGCGCGCCCGCCCGTCTCCAGGCAGCGCCCCCTCCGCCGGCAAGCCTGGGGGCGCGTGCGGGAGGCCAGGGCCTGCCAGGCGTTTGCTGCCCGCCGGACTGGGGCCGGGACAGCGAATCGGACCACTGGGGCGGGTCGAGGCCTTGGGGCGTCACGTGAGGACGGACGGACGTGGGACGGCTCCGTCGTGAGCATGCACTGTGATCGGTGAGTGGCTGCCAGTTCCCAGTCAGACCCGGGTTCCAACACAGAACTTCCTGCTGAGGCGGTCACAGCGTGTGGCCCACACACGCGTGTGCGCACACACACCGGCTTCCTCGTCGCGCTGAAACGAGGCCGCCCCTCGCTGCGGAGCCGTCCTGGAGGAGGGTCCCTGTCTGTGGTCCCCGCACGTGCCCCTGTGTGC